AGCGAGGGAGAGAGAGAGGAGAGAAAGAGGAGAGAGAGAGTGAGAGAGTATCCACTATCTCACTCGCTTTCTTACCTGTGTGTGTGTGTGTGTGTGGTGGTGTGTTGTGATGTGTGTGTGTGTGTGTGTGGTCGTGTGCGATTTGTGTGTTTGTCAGATGGCGTGGCTAGAAGGTGGTGTGCGTGTGCGTGTGCGTGTGTGTGTGTGTGTGTGTGTGTACAGGATGAAGATATAAACAACATATTATCAGTAGAAGGTGAAACATGAACTAACCTCCAGTTTGGTTGAAGCGTTGCTTTAAAGTTTCAATGCTGACTTTGTAGGTCTGCTGGGCACCCAGAGAGAGCTGAGTGTTCCTCTCCCAGTACTGAGAATCCTCTTCTGTGATTCTGTTCATCCAGTCCTGTTTGGGTTCGTAGCTCTTGGTGTTGCTGTCGTAGTGAGTTATCTCAACTTCATCAACCAACCCAACACTAACAAACTCTGGGAAGTTTGGGACTCCAGAGGACCCAGTGTAGAAATACTTCAGAGAGTGAGTCCCTGAGAGAGAATAATAAAGTAATAACTTCAGTCGTTATAAATCTCCAAACAATGTTTATCTCCCACATACAGATTTAAAAAGAACTACAGTACATCCGTTATACTAATACACTTTCTCTTCAGTACATTCAAATTATAATATAATATATAATATATATAAATACATAGAAACATATTTGCTGCATAAACTATTCTCTTTCATATTCCTGTTGATTTGTGTTGAAATAAGAATATACAGAATAATGAAATACAAAAGAACACATGATGTAACCATGCAGAAGTGTGTCTCTCCTTCTCAGTGAACAGGCTTCTCTAAGTCAGAGCTGCAGATCTCAACGTGAAGAGAAACTCCAGTTCACTTTCTAGCATCTGGAGTCCTTTCTTCTTCAGGATGCTTCATTCCTAAATGACACTCTCTGATTCTTTTGAGATCTGAAATCACAAACCTCTGCCTGAATATATCTGCTGCACGACTCTCTAAGATTCTTTCTGATATTCACCAGATTGAACCCTTTGCTCTTTATGAAATCCCTCAACTCTATCATATAAGTGACGAATGACATCTCGTGTTTCTTCCTCCTGAGGGTTTGAGTTTAAACTTTGTATTCAGTGAGTTCTTTAAAGATAACACGTGCATCTCTTACACAGTTTATAAGTGGGCTTTATTTCATGAAACCACTTTCATCTTGATTTCTGTCAGTAAACGATTATCTTTGAGTTTAAATTCAGATTTATATTAAATACATGTTCTTTTACAATCTTTCCAAAAAGAAATCTACTGACCTTTCCCAACATAAAACACAAACATGAAACCCCACTTTGGGAATAAAGAGCGTAGCTACATCAGTTGGTGCTATTTTAAAATAGAGAAACAGAAAGCAACTGGATCCAGATTCCCTCGTGTTGTTTGGGAACAGGATACGAACGGAGCGTTTCAGTTTGAGATCAAGTGTTTGTTCAAAGTGTCAGAGAAACCCTGCATCTCTCAGAGCGTGGCCTTTCTGCTCAGCCACCTGCACGAGTACATATATCTGTGATACATGAATACATATATCTGTAATACATGAATACATATATCTGTAATACATGAATACATATATCTGTAATACATGAATACATATATCTGTAATACATGGGTACATATATCTGTAATACATGAATACATATATCTGTGATACATGAATACATATATCTGTAATACATGAATACATATATCTGTAATACATGGGTACATATATCTGTAATACATGAATACATATATCTGTGATACATGGATACATATATCTGTAATACATGAATACATATATCTGTAATACATGAATACATATATCTGTAATACATGAATACATATATCTGTAATACATGAATACATATATCTGTGATACATGAATACATATATCTGTAATACATGAATACATATGTAATACATGAATACATATATCTGTGATACATGAATACATATATCTGTAATACATGAATACATATATCTGTAATACATGAATACATATATCTGTAATACATGAATACATGTATCTGTAATACATGAATACATATATCTGTAATACATGAATACATGTATCTGTGATACATGAATACATATATCTGTAATACATGAATACATATATCTGTAATACATGAATACATGTATCTGTAATACATGAATACATATATCTGTAATACATGAATACATATATCTGTAATACATGAATACATATATCTGTAATACATGGATACATATATCTGTAATACATGAATACATATATCTGTAATACATGAGTACATATATCTGTAATACATGAATACATATATCTGTGATACATGAATACATATATCTGTAATACATGAATACATATATCTGTTATACATGGATACATATATCTGTAATACATGAATACATATATCTGTAATACATGAATACATATATCTGTAATACATGAATACATATATCTGTAATACATGGATATCCAGAACTAACAGCAGCTCCTGATTTATGGATCTACTAAACAGCATCATATAGTTCTCTCAGTACATGTCAGTATCAGTGTGATGTTCTCTCAGTATGCAGTACTACAGTCAAGCAGACATGTAAACAACAACAACAGGAACTTGATATTGATGTTGACCTCGTTGAATTGTGATTTGCTTCCCAGAGATCTATCTCTCTCTTCTTCATGTGTAATGACAGGGAGCAGGTTCTATATGATTTCTTCTTCTGCTGTTTGCTCTTCAGTCAGAAACCAAACCCCTGGATACTCAGGGACTTTCTCACTTACGTCCACTTCTCTGGATTTAGAAAACAACTAGGTTTGATATGGACAACTCATATGTATTAATATCATTTTAAATGTCAATAACGGTCTATAATATATATTCATATTTATTGTGTATTGAGTCTGTATTACACTGTGTGTATTTATACCTGATCTAGAGAGTATTCATAATGTGTATACGTCCTTATACTGTTTGTTCATAGTGTAAATACTTCACTTCACCAGCGGCTGGGTAAAAAGGCCTCGATCCCATCCTGTGCATTTAAAGCTGCGGACTACTTTATTGTGACTCTTTTAATATTCATTAGAAATAAATTAAAGTGTATTTAGAAATATACAATATACAATAGCAATAGTTAAAGTTCCAAAAGTAAAAGTAGTGATTGTGCAGATTGGTCCATTTCAGAATAATATATATGATATGTTTTATAATGACTGATCATTAAAGTGTTCTCAAAGCTGGTAAAGGTGCAGCTAGTTTGAATGACTTTGTATACTGCAGGGTAGCTTGTGAATTTACTCCAGGTGGAACTAAAGTCTGATTTAACACTTGATTATATTTCACATCATTCATCCACATCTGTGAAGTAACTAAAGGTATTAAATACATGTAGTGGAGGAAAAGTACACCATTTACCACCATTTAAGACTATCACACTTTAAACTCACACAGCCCATAAACACATGAAGCACTTCTTATTTCCCAACGCAAAGAATCAAAAGACTCACGCGCAGATGTGCAGTGTGGGCCTACTATTCCCAGGAGAAGCAGAAACAGCAACATCTTCATCTTCATCTTGATCTCACGAGGCTTTCTGTGTGAAAGGTTCTTTATCCACAGAAACACAGCCGTCCATTCTGCAGAGCGGGATGTCAATGAGAGAGACACACAGAAGGAGGTAACACCAGCTCCGTCTGAGCCAATGAGAATTCAGTCTGAGCGTCGCGTCACTTGTTGCTCGGTGAATCTGCCTCACTCAGGTTGTGTATTATATATACAGTCTATGATCGAAAGTGAAGGCAAGGCAAGTTTATTTATCTAGCACATTTCAACACAAGGCAATTCTAAGTGCTTTACAAAAATGAAAGACATTAAGAGCATTAAGAAACATATTATGAATTGACATTTAAAAACACTTATTTAGAAGCAAAGAGACATGAATAAAAGTGACAGTGCAGTGTGAGATACACACATCTGAAATGTTTAGCTCTGACTCTCAATCATTGCTAACTTTTTAGCAGAAATAGTTTTCTATCACCTCCCTTTCTTTATACTTTCTTGTATAACTTGTCCTTTAGTTATTTCAAATGTGACATGCTAAATGAACCCCTCTTTGTGTGCCATTGACTTCAGAGTGAGTCATGTGAGAGTGTGTTATTTGACACAGACCTGTGTGCTATCAAAGCATCAGGTTCTTGGAGGAGATGTCCACTACCAAGTCCATATCCATTGAATGATGTTCTGTATGTGTACGTATGTGAAGGTGTTGTGGTTCAGTACAGCTCTCTGCACACATCAGGCCTTCTATCAGGACAAACTATATCATAAAACACAAGAGTTTCCATATCTGACCTCAGCGTTTGAAATGAAAGCAATAATGAATGAAAGCAAAGCAGAAAGAGAGTCAGAGAGCGTCTGAAACATCCGATCTGTGAACGCTGAGCAGTGCTTCTACCAGAGAAATGTAACACCTGTGTTGATGTTTGAACACCTGACGCTGTGTTTCACTTTGTTTCAGCTCTGTTTCTACTTCAACCCTCAACAGGAATGAGAGCTGTACTCTCTCTCTTCCTGAAAGCAGCAGCTAATGATTGACAGGTGGTTTCTCTGAGCCCTGTGTTACTGTGTGTCTCTTCCCCTAACTGTCCCCAGGTGAGCCTCTCAGGTGATCCCAATCCCTTGCCTTCATCAAAGGCTGAGGAAAGCTGCAGCAGCTTCATCTCCTCTTCCTCCTGCTCTGCATGGATGTGTGTGATCAGTGTGTTGTCTCTGTGGGACACTTGGCACTCGTTGGTACTCGTGTTTTTTAACCGTCCTGTCGTGTTTGGGTCAAATCTGACTGATTTACATCAATCATAAATATTGTGTTTCACATGTGATTGCCTCCAGGCCTCATGATATCCTCCACAGCAGCATGTGAACATATCAAACTGCTGATCCACACGTTCATTGAGTTTTGAGAGCTTTAGTCAACTTTGTAACACATAGGAGATGAATGGAGAACCCTAGATGATGTTCCTCCATCAGATACACAACCACATCAACAACCATGTTATCTGTTAGTCTATTCTTTGTTTACTCACTGCAGGTATTCATGTGAACCAGTAGAGACTTTGTTTACTGCTTAAAAAGGAATAACATTTGGTGATGATAATGTGTTTTGTGTTAATGTAAGAGCAGTTGAAACAGACAGGAAGTGAGGAAGGAGAAAGGAACCTGACAGGAGGGTTCAGTGTTAGGAGCTCAGATCCATTTTCACTTTTTATATTGATTACTTTTTTATTTAGCCTTTAGTACGTTTTTTAAATTGGTTAGTGAGCCCTCTTTGCTTTTGAGCTTTAAAAGACATCTTGTGGTTTTGCAAATTAGTATCCTCTTTGTTATTTAATCAGACTATCAGGGAGCACCCTCACATCTTTACACTCACAGACCGAAAACACATTTTAATTTGTGAGTTAAAGAAAAGTAAAAACTACTTTCATCTTTTGAATGTGGTTCCTAGTTTTCTCAGAGCTCTGAAGATGCATTATAATATTTGTCTTTCCTCAACTTTTACCTTTTGTTTCAAAATTATTTAATGCTTTTGTCTCCAAATTAAAGAAAGAACCTTCAAGATCAATAAATGTAATTCTGGAGGATTGGCATCATCTGGTAGACATGTTGTAGTTTACAGATTACAAACAGTTCATTGCGTAAGTAATGGAGATGAAGCTGGCGACACCTTGTGGTGAGAAGAGTTTCAATTATTAGTTATTAATAGATGGATAAGTACAATTTAGAGGTACTTGGACTTTACTTGAGTATTTCAATGTTATGCTACTGTGTACTTTGACTCCACTACATGTATTTAATACCTTTAGTTACTTCACAGATCTGGATGAATGATGTGAAATATAATCAAGTGTTAAATCAGACTTTAGTTCCACCTGGAGTAAATTCACAAGCTACAGTACCCTGCAGTATACAAAGTCATTCAAACTAGCTGCACCTTTACCAGCTTTGAGAACACTTTCATGATCAATCATTATAAAACATATCATATATATTATTCTGACATGGACCAATCTGCACAATGACTACTTTTACTGTCGCTACTTTCACTATATTTTGATGATAATACTTTTCCTCTAGTGTAAGATCTGAGTATTTCTACTTTTACTCAAGTACAAGATTTCTTCCACCTTTAAATTAATTTAAAATAAATGCTATTTGTCTAAAAATATTTTTAATTATCAGTAATATTATTTTATTTACATTTTTAAAGCACAATTATATTTTTTATAATAATGTCCTTTACATTTTAAATGTTGTAATAGTTTTTAAAAATATTTATATATTTCTTCCATACTATATACCTTAATGCATATCATAGAAGATACACATACATAGTTTAACCACACAATACACAGGTAGGTGCACACATGCACATGCACTGTAGTGCACACACAGTTTTACACACTATAGAGTTATGCTTGCTCATACACCTATATCTACACCTATATATGTGTTAATATACACTACACTTTGTCGTGTCAGTGCAGTGACAATTATATTTAATTTGATCTAAATTATTAAACTAGAAAACCCTTTTTCTGCATTAGGCCTACTACTAAAATCCAACAGGTGGCAGTAGTGCACCGGATAATTTCAAACCAGAGAAGAAGAGTCATTTCCAGGGTAAACACATGAGTTGGGTAACTGTCCCTGTGGAGGTGTCTTTCTGTCCCCGACCTCCAGCCCTTCTGTCTGCGGATAGCATGAGGTGTTTCTGATGGTTTGTTAACCTCCCATTGTTAGTGAACATCCGGTCTTCATGGCGGGTCCCGCCCACGTGTCCAGGGTCCGGTTCTTGTACAAAAGGCTGCTGGTTCTGCACCGGTTCCTGCCCATAGATCTGCGGGCTCTGGGGGACCAGTACGTGAAGGACGAGTTCAGGAGACACAAATCTGCATCCCCGGAAAACGTGACGAGCTTCATGGTAGAGTGGGAGGTAACACACACAAACCAAACCATTCAGACACCTGTCCTTTTCACTTTAGATTCGGCTCCTTCATTCTTTGGCTCAATAACTCCAGATCAAGCTGCTTTGTACTGCTACCATTAACAAGGAGAACACTTCTCCTTTCATTGGATTCTTATTTGATATCAATATTTGTATATTCTTACCTTTTGTTTCTTGCAATATATAACTGCAGTCCTTTTATTGGGTTTAAGTGTTTTTTTCTTCTTCTTTACAGTTACATGTGTAGGAACATTCTGCACTATAGAAAGCTTTTGAGTCACGTGAGCCAGTGACTCTAAATCAATGCAGCACTGCATTAGTACACTGGACTGGAGTCAGACACACCTCTTTTTATCGGGTTTTATTGTCATTTAATTTGATATTTTTATGAAAGTTTTGTAGTTTGTTTTGTGTAAAGTCTTGATTTTCTTTTAATAACTTCCATGTCATGTCATGTGACCCAGTGACTCCAAATCAATGCAGCATTGTATTACTGAACTGGACACGTTTTAGTGCACCCTCTATTTTATATTTAAATATAAATAGACAGTTAAGATGAGCCTTATTTCATTGTTTCTTAATATTACTAGGAAAATTCTGCACTTTTTTTTATTTTTTAAATCCTGATGTTTTTTTTCGAAAGTTGTTATGTCATGTGACCCAGCAACTCTTAATCAATCCAGCATTGTATTAGTACACTTTTCAAGTAAGGCAAACCAAAAGCTTCCATGTCGTAATCAGAGCTGAAAAATATTACTTAAATAAACGATTAGTTGTTTGACATAAGAATAATCCCCAACTATTTGAATAACCGATTGCTCGTTGAGTTCCTGCTATTCTCTCATATTAACACAGTAACTCATTAAAAGGGACATATTTTACTAACACACAAGACATTTAAAGACATAACCTTGGACTCTGGACACCAGGATGAATTAAATACTGAGAATAATAATCATTATGGGGTTTATTGGGCTTTGCATAGCCAGTGTAATGTCAGTCCATCACCACACGATGGCAGCTTCAGTACGCTGTTTACTCACTGTGTCATTGAACATGTGGTATTAGTTAGGTATTATTTTGGATGATGCTCAGACTGTCAGGGAAGTTCTTTGGGAGAGTGAACGTCTCTGCAGTGTTACAGAATATTTGCCCAACCCACCCTCCTATTAAATATATCCTATACAGATCAATGCAGCATTGTGAAAGCAAAACACACCTTTTTTTAAATTAGGTTTTAGTCCATCTTCTTTTTATATGAATATTGTAATGGTAATTATTTTGTTTTTTATTTAAAAGTCATGTTTTTTGTATCACTAGCTGCCTTGTCATGTGATCCTGTGACCCCAAATCTATGCGGCATTGTATAACTGCACCGTCACACCTCTTATTATTCAACGTGTAACATTTAAGGCAGTGTAATGGTCAGATCGGGGAAGGGTCCGAGTAAATAATAACACAGATCAGGAAATAGAAACGTGTAACTGTGAAGAAAGGTTTAAGGTAATTGGATGCACTATTTGTTGCCATTTTATAATAAGTGAAGCTACGGTTCATCCTTTCTGTCCGGCAGTGGCTCAGTCAGTAGGGGCTTGGACTGTGAGCCGTAGGGCCGCCGGTTCAAGTCCCCGACCAGACCTAAATATGGAGTGTGGACTGCTACTTGGTGAGGTCCCAGTCCACCTCCTGCCCTGCCGTGGTGCGCTTGAGCAAGGCCCCGGACACCTGCCCACTGCTCCTAGTGCTAGACTCCTGGTGCTAGGATGGGTTAAAAGCAGAGAACACATGTCACTGTGTGCTGTGTGCTCTGCATGTGAGACTATTACAGAGGGGCTCATCCCTCCCATTCTATTCTATTTGATTGGATGAGAACACACACACTTGTTTTTATATTTACATTGAATTTCATGCTTTCTCATTTGAGGGTTTTTTTCAGAGCAATTTTTACAAGTTATGCTTTGAAAAAGTAATAGGAACAAAATCAGGAATGTTTTAAAAGTATTGGGGGCATCTCTCCAGCCTCTCCAGCGTGATGACACTCATCCCAGCAGGGAACTCTTTTTTCAGAATAGTCTGAGCACTTGAAAGCAGCATAAATGCATCAAAAACACTCCAAATTAAGCGAGTTCTTCCACCAAGTTTGATTAAAATCTTCCGTGTAGTCTTTATTGTGATCCTGCTGAAAGAAAAGCTGAGACCAAAAAACACACCTTTAATCAGCACAGGTGCATCGCCTCCGCCTTGTGTTCCTTTTGTGTTTCTGTAATAACTCTGACTCCAACACACCTCAGAGGACTTACCTGGCTTCATGTGGCGATGATGAGTTTATTTGCAACTCTTCCTCCAGTTCCCAAAATAATCTTGAGGGACGGCACTAAGGGGCAGAGCCGATGTTATCACCCACTGCGGGGGGGGGGGATGGTAGACCACCCATCTGCTGCCAATGTATCTAATGAAGTAGATGGTGATTGCAGCTGCAATCCTGAGAGTCTCTTTGTGGTTTCAGGAGCTGTGAAGCCGCCGGGGAGAAGGCGGTCACTTTCATTACGCCTCAGCAGATCAGTATGCATTGTTTTCAAACCCAGAGTCCATTTGCATCGTTTCCAATCAGGGGAGCGAGAGGCTTCTGTCATATTTACACTCCTCTGGCTGTAGTTCAGATGGAAACACATCAGGAGGAAGGTAATTTGACTAAAACCACTGGGAGACAATCATGTCTGCTTGGGAGTTTACAGAGAGGGACGTCTCTGTCTAATGCAAAACAACAAAGAGACAAAATTGTCGGAGATAAAGTGGTGAGAAATAACCTGAGCTGGCTCCGTGTGCAGAGAGCTCTGATAGCTGTTTGTGTTAATGCACCCGGGTCTGAAGCCAAGAGAAACATTTCTGATTTAGATCGAGAGGGCTGCAGGAGAGTAGCAATTATTATTATTATTATTATTATTATTATTATTATTATTATTATTAATAAGAGAAAGGTCCTTGAGGTAAGAGTTAACTGAATATGAACTTATTAGTAGGCTGAGTTAGAGAGTTAGAGTATAACACTTTGTACCAATCGAGAGTTGTTTTGTAAGGGCCAATAGGGAAGAGGCAAACCTTTGGTACCAGTGATAAAAAAAATAAGAGATTTTATTGTGTGCAAATGCTTTAAAGAGTCCTCTCTTGCTGATGTTCAGGTGTATATCAGTATGTAGTGTCTCTACTTTAAAGAGTCCTCTCCTGCTGATGCTCAGGTGTATATCAGTATGTAGTGTCTCTACTTTAAAGAGTCCTCTCCTGCTGATGTTCAGGTGTATATCAGTATGTAGTGTCTCTACTTTAAAGAGTCCTCTCCTGCTGATGTTCAGGTGTATATCAGTATGTAGTGTCTCTACTTTAAAGAGTCCTCTCCTGCTGATGTTCAGGTGTATATCAGTATGTAGTGTCTCTACTTTAAAGAGTCCTCTCCTGCTGATGTTCAGGTGTATATCAGTATGTAGTGTCTCTACTTTAAAGAGTCCTCTCCTGCTGATGTTCAGGTGTGTATCAGTATGTAGTGTCTCTACTTTAAAGAGTCCTCTCCTGCTGATGTTCAGGTGTATATCAGTATGTAGTGTCTCTACTTTAAAGAGTTCCAGATGCAATAAGAACATTTCCCACCTAGACTTTTCCAATAAGTCCTTGAATGACAAAGTGAAAGAGCTCTAAACTTAATTCAGGGTGGAGACTTCCTCTTGGCAGACTGTGTGTGTGTGTGTGTGTGTGTGTGTGTGTGTGTGTGTGTGTGTGTGTGTGTGTGTGTGTGTGTGTGTGTGTGTGTGTGTGTGTGTGTGTGTGTGTGTGTGTGTGTGTGTGTGTGTGTGTGTGTGTGTGTGTGTGTGTGTGTGTGTGTGTGTGTGTGTGTGTGTGTGTGTGTGTGTGTGTGTGTGTGTGTGTGTGTGTGTGTGTGTGTGTGTGTGTGTGTGTGTGTGTGTGTTGTGTGTGTGTGTGTGTGTGTGTGTGTGTGTGTGTGTGTGTGTGTGTGTGTGTGTGTGTGTGTGTGTGTGTGTGTGTGTGTGTGTGTGTGTTTATGAATTCCTTACACTGTCAGTGTTTAAAACATTTGTATCATTAATGTCAAACTGTAGGAGGTAATGTATTTGTTGGGGACTATTTTCTGCAGCGGATGAATCCACATTGGGTGCCCATGTGCAGTGTCTCTCCAGCGTTGTCAGTCATTTAAGATCAGACCTGTGTCTAAATGGTGCAGCCTGTCTGTCTTAACCCCTCTGTGTGTTGCATCCTGCAGAGCTACCGGGAGACGCTGCAGACTCAGGTCCTGCAGGCGGCGGGGGGGCAGCTCAGCTCCGTGAAGTTCGGGTCCCCCCTCCAGGAGGACAAGCTCGGAAACTTCCAGAGCGACCAGATCGGACAGCTGTACGAGCTCATGCTGGAGTCCACCAAGTCCTCCAGGCAGTTCGACATCCAGGAGGACGGGAAGTGAAGGACTCACACTATATATTTATATTTGCTCTGATGGAGAGTGGGACTCGAAGAAGTGGCTTTTAAGAATATGTGATTATATTAAAGTGCTGTGTAATAGCTCCGTGTTCCTGTTTCTTTTTCTGGGGATATAAAAACACTCCATCACAGGTGCATTAAGGGGACACTAATTAGCTTTTTTGAAATACAATTGTGTCTCCTCTGCAGGATTTAACATCTCTGTCGTTATCCATGTGATTCAAAGGTTTAATCATCATATGCTCAGTGTAGAGATGGCAACGGAAAGTCCCAGGCTCCTCCAACAATGCAACATAAATATATATATGAGACAAAACACTAAAACAAAGGAGCAGAATAGATATAAAGTGCAAGGGAGTGTCGCTAGTGACCAATGTGCAACTAAATGGGTAAGAAGTAAATAATAACAAAGTTTATAACACACCGAAATACAGAGTAGAAGTACTCAGATCTGTAATTATTAATCAAAATCTGTAAAGTAACTAAAGGTATTAAATACATGTAGTGGGGTAGAAGTACAAAGTAGCAGAAAATGGAAATACTCAAGTAAAGTACAAGTATCTCAAAATTGTACTTAAAGTGGACCTATCATGCTATATTTGAATAATATAGTGTAGGACCATACCTATATAAGGCATATTTATACTTTTTTTTTTTCAAAATACCAAACAGATCATGCATTTTAGCCATGCCTCATTTCGCTCAATTTGACATTTTATAGCTCTGTTTTTGCAAGGGCAGATTCAGTGAGAACAGCACCATCTACTGGCCTGGCATATGTACTACAGCGTCTCCAGCGCTTTCGAACGGCAATGGCCGTGGCTGTCTCCTCCTGATTGGTGGAGTTGGCCCAATAGCCGTAGCGCCACCGTCCTGACGTCAGGACAGTGTTCAAATCTGGATCAGTTTTTATCAGATCCGTTGCAGCCCCTTTTTTAGAGATTTGGGTATGGAGGAAAATAGAGAGGGTTGTGTTTTCTGACACTTGGTGAGTTCCCTGGAACACCGGGGACACATATTCATGTATAAAAGACGTACAAAAGTGCATTTTGCATGATAGGTCCCCTTTAAGTTACTTCACACGAGTGCAGAAATATAACAAACACTGAAATAAAACGATGAAAAAGCAAAGTTGGAGAGGAGCTGGAGACACGGCAGCCATCCTCAGGATCTGAACTATACACTTGGAGGTGTGAAGGAGAGAAAAGTAATGTGTGTGTGGAGATGTTTCTGAAGTCGCCTCACGGTCGCCTCCCGCAGAGTTCAGACATTACAATCGATTTCTCCGGGGATAATAGCGATCACAATGCATGGAGGGTTTGTTCCAGATGCTGCTCTGAACCTCCCTCCCCGCTCTGCTCTGATGCAGCGGCTGACTCATCATCTGCAGAAAACCTCAGGAGCAAAGGGACTCACTTTGTGCCAAAGAGTGCCGTGGACAGGAGGGCTCAGATTAAAAAAGTTCTATGTGTTTTAAACGTTCTTCTACAAGCGAATTTAGGACATACAATGGGGGTTTTGGTATGAGGTACATCACCATGAAAACATTAATAAAAAGAGTAGTCGACTAATTCTTTTAGCAAGAATTACCAACCTTTGGCCTGTCCAAATTGACCAATCAGAATCCAGTATAATGCTGTCTTGCGGCTTCAGAATTAAGACACTTCTCTGTTGCAGACTATTCGATATTTTCAGTTTTAGACATTGAGCAGATGACTCACTAAAGCCTCTTTCAGACCTTCATCCTGTGACCTCATTCACATGTTGGTCGGCTCCTCGTCCACTTGTACAGAGCTCACATAAGCTAGTCACGTTCTATGTTATTTTATTCTAATAAAGCTGCAAGTACATTAGCTTTCATACAACATTAGCCTACCATGTTCTCACATTGGCTCAATGTAGTCAAGAGTCTGTGGTCAAAGTCAATGGTTTGCTGGATGTGTTTTTGGTTGGTATCCTGAAATATGGTCTGTGGTTAAAACACAAGCTGAAGAGATTTCAAAGTTTTGTTCTCATACATAAAATAGGTCAGTAAAGGACGGCACGTATTTAGATTTGCATCAAACTGTAGAGATTAAAGAGGGTTTTAAATCATTATAAGTCTAAGAGCATTCAGACATCTTTACTTCTCAGAGATTCAAACTCTCCAGAGATATAAAATGCAGTGTTTATTATATACTGTATGTAAATCCTCCTAACAATCACTGAGTGTAACCTCTTAATGAAGTGATGAATATGAGCTGTGACAGTAATTGATTGAGAGACAATGAGCGAGCTGCTGCTCTCTAATTGTTTTACACGACCTCCATCACTTCCATTGACTCGCAGCACCGTGTGTTGGCAAGAGGAGGAAGAAGAGACCTGCAGATACATGTTGCTGTTAGGAGCTGCACAGACTGTGGAGTAAGAGAAGATAGATGTGCTTTAGAGCTCAGGGTTAGTTAATAGACTTCATCAATTTGCACCTCCTCGTGTCATACTGAAATATCTGATGCAAACATGAATTATACTGACTGTTGATCCTCAGCGTTCTCTGCCTGGTGCCACCATGAGGGGAGAATATCAGTCTGTCCAGGGTCTTATGAGCACAGATCTGCAAAACTACATTCACCTCAGCTTTGTTATGAGCACGTCAGGATGCTAATGCTAATATGCACTTAGCTCAGATTAGCAGCTTTGTGAGGCTGGAAACACTTCACACTTTACATTAGATTATATTAGATTTGTGCTGTCAATGGATTAAAAAAATGAATCGTGCTAATCACAATAATTAACTGTGATTATCGTGAGAAATCACAGGTTTATAAAACTAGTATTTCCTTGTATTTTGTGGGAAGATAATCCAAACACATGAGAGGTGAGGAAAAGAAATGCATCACAAACTGGTCAGAGAAACAGAGTTTGTTTTACTTTATTATAATATCCTTTCTGAATTAGAGTCCTACTATTTTCAGACCCTGTGATTGGTCAACCCCTTAGAGATGTCCCGCCCCTTAGCCTATGACGCCCAATGTGTAGGAGCGCTAGCCAATAGGAGCGTAAGTGTTCCATAATGATGTCACTATGTTCAGGAAGTAAACAAAGGAGTCCAATGGAGGCGAGCTCAGGGATTTTAGCCTCTGCAGACCATTGACATGCACTAACAAACCTATGGAACACACTAGAGAGGGAACCCCACAGGAAGCAGAGTAGGGACTCTTTAAAATGTTGTAAAAGGAGTGATAGAGCCAGTATTTTTGTTTATAAAAAGGGCCACCTAATTGTGACGTCTGTATAGTCAATTACGTATAAAGGACTACAATTCCCACGGTGCCTCATGAGACAGAGATTAAAGTGTACATAGAAAGAAAGAAAGAAAGAGCACCTAAGTTGTTTATTACTTTATTTGAGTCTTGCCTCTTTTGTTTGATTTGTTTGACGAGTGTAAAGGCCTGTTTTCTTTGTTGAACGTGAAGTCATCCCAACGTGAGTAAAACAAATCGTATGGAAGGAAACACGTTAGAAATGTCTGTAAAAGGCGCCTGAGTCGCTTGGAAAGAAAGGAAGGAAGGAAGGAAGGAAGGAAGGAAGGAAGGAAGGAAGGAAGGAAGGAAGGAAGGAAGGAAGGAAGACGCGACAAGGAGCGATAGACGAGGACGACATTTAGAACTGGATTCAAGAAGTTCTGTTTTAATAAACGCTTCACTGACGCAGCATTGCAACATCAATGGATGAAGAGGATCCCAATTGATTCAGCAGAAGCAGAGAGAGAGATCAAACAGTGTCACACTCTCCTCTGTGTGACAGAAGTCACAGCGGGGGTCCGACACGAGACAAAACACATCTGTAAAGTGCAGAGGAACAAAGGGTCGGTGCTCACAGAGACAAAGCACAACACCTGGTCTGGGATCTGAGTGACAGGCGAGAAAACAACAACGTGTTTCCACTGGGACGAATGGGGGGGAGGGGTGGCGGGGGGGTCTCAATTACCGCTGTCACTCCTTCACCAAACACTGGAGACTGAAGTGTGTGTGAGGAAGAAATCAATACCACACAACGGCTTCATTTGCAGCGTGATGTGAGCTGAACTCCCCCGGAGGAATCATCCCAGTTAACCTGCTGATCAATGAGGGGACACAGAGGGTCTTCAGAGGAGGAGGCCATGCTTTAACATCACACACACACACTTCTGGTTATTGATTATTTTGAACCCAACATGACATATTATCACCTCTTAGAAGCTGCAGTGAAGACGTCCTGTTGCAGAAGCTGCTCTTCGTCCATGTGATCTTTCAATACTGATAATAAAAAAACAGTAGGAGCTATTTATTTAGTATATTATTCATTATTGAAACTTGTAATTGTATTGCTGTAACTGCAAATATTTTAGTTAAAGTATTCCTATTCTGGTTTTGGGGTTCTCCCTTTTTAGTGTACAAGTAATATACAATACACCTAAACATCACCAGGAGAGGACTCTTTAAAGTAGAGACACTACATACTGATATACACCTGAACATCAGCAGGAGAGGACTCTTTAAAGTAGAGACACTACATACTGATATACACCTGAACATCAGCAGGAGAGGACTCTTTAAAGTAGAGACACTACATACTGATATACACCTGAACATCAGCAGGAGAGGACTCTTTAAAGTAGAGACACGATGAACATGAGAAGAATAGGACCTAAGAGAAAAGGTGAAACACCTGTTCTTTGTACCTTTGTTGAGACTCTTTGAATGAAACAACACAAAGGATTTTCTGGTGACGACAAGATTGTAATTCATTATAACCAGATCGGATGTCTAGTTTATTTTTCGTTTGAGTATTCAATGCACTATAAACTAGATTTGCAAGCTCTCTTTGGTCTCCCTCTCAAATCCATCCACAGACTTCAACTGGTCCAGAACTCTGCCGCCCGCATCGTCACCAGAACCCCCTCCATTAACCACATCACTCCTGTTCTTCAGCAGCTTCACTGGCTCCCCGTCAAATCCCGTATCACCTTTAAGGCCATCCATGACCTCACTCCTCTCTCTGTACCTCTCCGACCTCCTGCACATCAACACACCCATCTGCACTCTCAGGTCTTCTGCTTCCC